TAATGATCCATTCACATTATGAGCATTATTTTCAGACACTGTAAGATTTTGGAGGTTGGGTTCTAACAGCTATATCATTTACTACTAAATTCAAGGAATGTGATTAGCATACACTATAAAATGCATATGCATTTAAATTCAATAAATTTTTCCCCTGTGCATATTTGTGTGATTTTCATAGCTTTAAAAATCACACCAGAATTGCACAGCTCTTGTCCTACTTATAGAATATGTTTGTGTATCAGTTTAATTTTTAGTGTAACTTTTATTATAATGGTATACAGGTATTTTCCTATCAACCATGAAAATTGGTGACAAAATTAACAAATACAAGTTCCAGATATAGATAATGTAAAAAAAACTTAAATAAATATGATTTTTAGCATATCTAAAAAAAAACATAAATAAATATGGGTCCAAGCTTGCATTAATCATTCCAGCAGAAGTTTGGTAGAGGTCATTCTTTAGTTAGTTAGATAAACTGGCTGGCTGAGGGTAAATTTATGTTTTAACCCTCTCAGCGTTATGGCCGGAAAATTCCGTACAGAAGGTTGCCTTCCACATTCATTATACATGAAAATTTCTGCTAGCTTTTAATGTATCTGATTTCAGTTTGGATGTATATTGGAAGAAAAGGAATCAACATACAAAATGAAAGAGTCATTTTTTAATTAAAATCAAGAAAATATCGGTAATTCATGACATTTTGAGGAACTTTGAAATTTCAGGGCTAAACCCGTAACGCTCAGAGGGTTAAAAAAAACCAAGGCAAAGATTTTATGAGCGTGTTGTGTTGTAAACTTATCTGTAATATGTATGCTTTGCTGTTTAGCTATGGTTTTATTTGTCAAAAAGGGTGGAAGGGAAAATATACAAGTACCTTTATAAAATATGTTTATTTTTTTATTACTTTAATTTTTTTGAGACAAATTAGGTATTCATTTACTTCTTATTTTTGGGGGGATGACCACACAGTCTAGTATAATTTAAGATGTCTATATTTATTTTCTGTTTAGCATTTTTTAGCATTAAATAAATCTGCTATGTATTGGCTAATGTATAATACCAATAATATCACATGCAATTATACTTTCTTGCAAATGTCACTGAAACTTTAAGCTCATGTATGGCTGTGCTCTCCTGAACTTTAGAGGTTGCCATGAGTAGTACTGTTGACAGTGTAACACTGAATATGAACTACTAGTATGCTTAAATCGTTGTGAATATCAGAGCCAATGTTGTGAGCTCTCTTTTTTAGATGAATTTTAATTTTATTTAAGTGATTTTTGGTGCGTTCGGATTATCCACTGTACTAAGAAATATTGCCAAATCATTGGCAACTTTATTGAATTGGCCAAAAACATCTGTTTGACTATTTTTATAGCTTGCATGTACTGCTGTATTCATATATGGTAATCAAAAAGGGCATGTTTATACGAAAAGAGATTTTATGAAGGAAAAATTATCTATACGGCTGATATTTATATTTTCAACTCTTCAGTAAAATGACATTTAAATGGAAATAATATAGTAAATCCACATGTACTTAAATATATGTGTGATTGTTGTTCAAAAATGGACCACAAACACAGCAATTCTATCGAATGTTAAAATGAGTGATGCAAATAGATGCCCCTTTTTCTAAAAGTTATGAAACAAACTAAATAATTCGATGATTTCTTAATTAATGTTTATTTTGGTTTTTTTTTCCACTTTTGACAATATATCTGGAAAGCAAAATGTTGATGTTATTTTTCTAATTGCCTTATTTAAGCATGAGACAAAAAGGTGAAAAAAATTGTATGATATTGAAGTTCGTGTAAAAAATGAAATTCAAATTAAGCATATTTGATTTTTTACATTACTGAGTGGAAGCCTGGATCATGAATGTCTCTACCTTGAAAAAACTTTATGAGCAAAGAATGCCTCAGCAAAGGATGTCTTTTATGAATATCCAATTTGGCAGTTAATGATTTCAAAGATGTTTTTAGGTAATCTCTGATACAGAATTAGCGTTTAGGAACATCTAGAAATAGCATTTTCTGCAACTCTCGTTAACAAACATGGCACCAAGTGACTCACATGACCATGAAATTATGAACAGATTGTGTCGCAAGCAAATATTTTAAGGGCTTTGACAAGAAGAATGTTTTTTTTTTCTGTGATATTGTGTCTGTAGGCAGTTAACGATGAAGGCATGGAAGAGTTACTATGGGACTACAAAGTTGAGCTCAACAAGAAAGAAGTAGAACTGTTTTCAGAGAAAAAGGGTAGAAGGAATGAAGATCCTAGTTCTTTGATCCAAAATTTGTGCAAAGTGAGGTAAGGTAAAAATTTCATATAGTGATATTGATCTAATATAGCAGTAGCAAGCTACAGTGTGAGCATTTTTGCTGACGGTGTCGTGTCTCATTTTAGAAACGTTTAAAAACATTGACAACAAGTCATAGTTGACAAATTTTGAGCGAAGTGGAGTCCCAGTGATTCTTAAGTAGAGTCGACTGGTGCTAAGAGACAAAAATATAAAATAAGATGCCTTCGATGATAGCTGCTACATGATGTTTCATGGAATGACACTGCTTATGTAAACAATAGCTTCTTATGTCATCACCTTCTGCTTATGTCATCTACTCTTTTGTATCGGTACTGTAAAACTAAATTATTATTTTTTTTTTAATCTGTTTACTGTTGTGTTTGTCTTTTTTTCACTTATCTTAGATTCAAAGATTTCCACTGGTTTTGTGTAATGAACTTGTATGTAAGCAAGTTTTGTGTTGTTGTTGCAATGAGTGAAATCCCTGGGCCCTGGGCCGAAACAATTTCAGCCATCAGGCCATAACAGGCACCAACCCATCAAACAATAGTGGAAAACAGCGAACCAGCCATGTTCCAACAAGTTTTCCAGTCAAATCAAAATCCCTATCACTTCTGTATTCTGATTAATTTTCATCATAATTTCTTCAGCTACTTCTTTAAATTTCTCATAATTTTCAAAATCCCCATTTATATCAAGCTGATGTCTCCTAACTATGTCTCTAGTTAAACTACAGGATTCAAGGAAGTGACAGTTATTACCTTTTACTATACAAAATTGACAGTTTTCTTGAAGACCAAATCCCTTAAAATATGCTGGGAATCTTTCATGACCAGTAATAAGCTGGTTCATATCTGTATAATTAAATATCTTTTCCTTTTTATCAATTTTTAAAAATCTGATATAACCAGATGATTCCCAATTTTTTTTTTTTCCATTCCACAAATATCTCCTTTTTCATAATATTTAATAACTTTCTTTTCATGTACAATGCTTCAAGATCTTTCTTTCCTAGGCCTTATGCAGCTTCCTTTGCCTGCATGTCCGATGTCTCATTACCAGTATACCCAACATGGGCCTTGATCCAGTATAAATTTATATTATGTATTTCAGCCAGAAATTTGAAATCATTTTTAATTTGGCTTATGAATAAATTATCAGTGTGTATATTAGAAATTGTATATCATGCAGACAAAGCATCGTAATAAATATCTGTTTTATATCTGTAATATTGTAAGTCAAGTTTTCTTTAATCCATAAAAAATTACCCTAATCTCAGTTTAAAAAACTGAATTCATTGAATTTAACATATATTTTTTATACTCGATCTCTGTTCAATACAAATAAATCACACATGAGTTTTGTGTTATGAACTTGTAATGAATAATGTAGTAAATTTTAAATAAGCAATCATCTGTAATCTTGGAGCAGTTTAATCCATTTTGCATTAACCTTTTGAAGATGGGATGGCCATCATAGTGGCCATAGAGTCCTCTCTTTGAAAAGACGGGTTTGTCCACTTTAGTGGCCATGTCTTTTCCCCCCTTTTTCCAGGCTGAAAAGTGGGGTGAAATGTCAAATTTGACGTACCTGTGGTTTTAACCACTTATCTCTTTCAAAGGTCTTCCTTTTGCGATATAGATGCACCCCTCTGAGAATCCGTTAAACTACACACAAGAATCTTTGTTGCAAATAGGACGTGATTTCTCAAAGGGGGGAAAGCATTCGGTTCAAGATTCCCCGCCTTTTGGTAGCTTTTACTGCTACCAAAGCCACGGCCTCAAAAGGTTAATTCCTATGGCTGAAATATTTTCAGTTTACGAATATTTTGTGTGATAAACACACTTCATGAATGAACTAAATTTCTGAAATGAGATTTTATCGTATATTGCACTAGATTTTGATTTCTGCTATGTTTCTGAACCTTTAACTGCTGTGACAATTTTTTCAGCATAATTACTGTGAGTGGTCTCGCAGACTGCTTTAATGAAACGTGCAAAAATACATACTTTTATGCCTTTTTAAGGAATGTTATAGATACTTTATGTATATTTATTGAATTCTAATTCATTTAAATCAATATATTTTAAAATTAAATTATTAAAGATAAATAATTTAATTTTATGCAGTTAAATTCATATAAAAAATGACCATTTTCTTCATTTTAAGGAACAAAGCTTTTAAAGAACAAATATTTTATTAAACATGTATAAAAATATGTGAGTTTAATAAGTATTGCTGTTGATGAAACCATAATTCTACAACCATGAATTTAATTATTAATAAAGAATAGATTAGTATTTCTTTGTGTACAAGGAGATACTAATCTATTCTTTATTAATAATTAAATTCATAAGATGATACACACTCATATGAATTTAATTACTCATGAATTCATGAAAAATTTATAAGATTATACACAGTCAAAACACATTTTTTGAGAGCACTGAAGACATACTGGTTCCTTGCATTCCAAGCATTTGTATGCTGTTTTTCTCTTCTTACAAGATGGGCACAGACTACATGTTTTTCTTCATGATTTGATAAATCCATTCTCTAAATTTCCAATGATTCTTCTAATTGTTACCTTCAGTTCTCTTTCTAAAAAAGCGGAAGTTATCAAAACTTTCAAATGCAGTTTAATAAGTTGATTAGCTAATAAAAGCATAAAAGGTTTTCTTTTCAGTTTTGTAGTGTCAAGATGACTGGAAAAATATGTATGAATTCCAAGTAGCTTCGAGCTTTGCTCTAGAGCTTACTTTTGCAGGATGTTTCAGACGGTGGAGCTGAATTATTGTGTTATGCTTTGGCGTTCGTACTGCCCAGTTTGCTTCTTTTTTGTACCATTTCAAGTAAGTTTTTCCATAAAAGTTATCATTTTGTTCATAGTCATTAGAAAAATTATGATATTCATCTGCAGAATGTTCAGATTCACTTTTGCTTTCACTGTGAATACTACATGATTCTTCAGAATCAGAGTGTTCTACATAAAAAATATTGTTGACAAAATATTCAGTTTCTTTTTGAGTGAGATATACAGGACGTTTTCATGTAAAATTTGAAGCCATATTTATCACTTTTACGAAAACAAGCAACATAAATAACGTCTATCGTCTACTAAAACTGGTATGCATTTGCTCCCACACAAAAAATAAAACACACAGTAAGTGAAACCATAATAAAGCTAGAAGTGTAAAACTGGATATGTGATCTTGTGGGACAGATTTGGGAAGGCAGGAGGAAGGACAGGGACCAGTCTCCATTTTTAGGGGTGAAAACAACGGTTAGAAAATCCTCAGCGATCTCTCAGACCACTCACAGCAGTTAATGGTTAATTTGCTGTCTCTAGGAGCTATATGAATGTATTAATGTGTATGAGAGATAAATGAATGATAACTGCATGAATATGAAATTTTAGGTTAAAGAAACTTAGTGTATTAAATATTTTGAAAGTTATTAATCCAATATAGATTAAAAAATTCATTAAAGTGTAATTCATGGAAAAATTTGAGGTATTCATAATAGGAAAATTCAGTATGGCCTTTACTGTATGTTATATTTATGAAACACGCATGGTAGAACTCATCTTCTGAACTTTAATTAAATCCCACTTCATAAAAATGGTGAAGTAAATATAACTTGACAAGTAGGCTCCAAAATCAGTCATTCCCAATTTTCTTTAATGAATCTTTCTTCTTCCCATTGTGATTGTGTTTATTTGTGAAGATACTTTGAAATATAGAGCAGTTTCATAAAACTTGCAGATGAAATTGCATAACTGACATTTGTTTTTTAAGTTAGGTGTATCATGAATGTATGTAATGTAGTATGTAATAGCCTGGACTGTTTTATCATTTACTACTATAAAATAAATGTAGATCTGTTATAAAAAGTTAAAAACTCTCTGGTATATTACAAACATTTATAGATTTCTCACAGGGCCACTGGCAGGAAGAAAAATGTCAATAAATGTAAATAAACCAAAAAAGGAACTAAAGTACATATTGCACTACAATACACAAGTTTGAGATCCAGACATGTCAGGACTTCAGCAATTCCAGGTTTGGGATATTTCTGCATATTAGGTCATCAGTTTAAATCTAGTAAGATGACATGTAGAAAATATAGAATTAAAAGTATGAAATGTTTATGACCCTTAAGGGAATGACATTAAAAAAAACTCAATATTTAAGCATTATTAAATATTTCTTTCAACATAAGTTATTTAAGTTGCTTTATTTTTTGAGCTAATACTTTCTTTTTATAGATATGCATAACTTCTTTTACAAAGTTTCACTGTTCAAGTCCTGTAATTGCATATTGCATGTCGAGAATTCCCACTAAGTCTTGATTTTTTTTTTTTTTTTTTTTTTTTTTTTTTTTTTTTTCCCTCGACAATTCATCTGTCACTTTCTTCACAATTGGTAGTGGTATTTTGTGAATTTAGAACCATTCTACTGATCTTACTGTCTGTTGGTTAATTGATGATTGAGGCATTGTCATCGCAATGAAAACTTTCATTTTTCATTTTTCAAATATCATTTTTTTTACCATCACTTCTCCACATTTCTTCACAAATTCGATTCATTAGAAAATTAGTTTTTTTGTTTGCAACATCTGAAAACCTTTGTATTTTCAGCTATCATCATAAAGCTTAACTAGTGGCCCCTATACACTATTTGCAATGTATCTGAGACTTGCATGTTGTTTACTAAATATTGTCTAGCTTTTATTGCATGCTAATGAAGTTAAATCTGAATTATATTAGTTTAGTTAGTATGTCTGTGCCTATAATTATATTAGTTTAGTTAGTATGCCTGTGCCTATAATTATAGTATTAGTTTAGTTAGTATGTCTGTGCCTATTTCCTCCCGCAAGCTTAAGACTTATCCGAGTCCTACATGTCCTAAATTCTGCACATTTCTAAATTTTGCATCTCATTACCTTACCATCTCATTAACATCCTCTGTTTATGCCTAAATTCTAAAGGTTTTGCCATTCCATAATTTTGTTGCTAGGTGCTTCTCTAAATTCTAAAACGTTTGCCTGCTGTAAATTCTGCTGCACCAGCTTTGGTACCGGACCCGGGCTTATCTGAATAACAAATCATTTTTTCTCAATTCAGAGAGCACTAAATGTAATCTTTTGGCCTGTCAATATCATTTACAAAACTTTTTTTTTTTTTTTTTTTTTTTTTTTTTTTTTTTTTTTTTTTTTTTTGTTACATATAGAAAGCAATTTTTGTTAAATTTCTCCTCAACTGAAGTCTGCAATCATCACAAAGCATAATATCGACATAAAAGATTACCATGCTATCTGGTATTCGATTACTTACATTAATTTAAAAAAAAGTTTAGATGTCACTGTGTGAGTAATTTTTTAAGTTATTATGTGTTGATAGTCAAGCTGTGATGACAGCAAAAATGTAAGAAATAATGTTTGACGAAGTTGGCGTCAAGTTTATAAATTATTCTGTAAAAATGATGTTTCGGTTTGAGAAGCATATCAAGCAAAATGGCAGCTACATGGCCAGATTATTGATCATATCGATTTACGCTAAAATGATTTCTTCAATATGGAGTTATTTTATTTAGTGCTAAAATGAAATTAATAATCGGGATTTTCCGCATGTTTTATTATGAAAAGAAATTAAATGCACATGTGTAAATCATCCAAAAAGAAAGAACAATAAAGGTTGCTGTTGGTCCTAAGGTCCAAATTTTAAATCATTCCAATTATTTGATGTTCGGATTTTGGAATTTGTACTGTATTGAAAAAACTTTACAACCACCTTCCATAATGAGGTGAATTTAGGTGTTGTTACTTAAATTGTGGCATGTGATTCTTACCATCTCTTGCCTAAACTTTCTTAGAATTCTGAAAGATTCTTTGTTAGAAGCATATACTTCAGTTGCAAATGCAGGCTTTAGTAGAGACTGAATTGCTGATATAAAATCTCCATCAAATGACAGTGATGAAACAGAATTTAAAGGAAGGCAGATTTACAGAATGATTTGCCAGTATTAGTGCTAAATTATTTTCTTTGCTTACTGCTTTACAGAAATCTGCCTGATCCCACAAAATGTAAATTGTTGCCAACTTTACTAACAGTTTTTTTTAAGTTTGTTGTAGTTACTAAGGTTTCTAGGATATATTTGACTGAACGACTTTCTCCGAGCCTTTATAAAGCTTTTGATTTAAAAGTTTAAATGGGATCGAATGTTAATAAATTTAATATTTTATTAGTATGTGTTTCCTGTCATTAACTTTGTATGTATTTTTACTATTATTATTAAAATTTATCAGAAATTAAAATCTTATGATATTGATATTTTTTTCTTTCTCCGAGATTGGAGACATTGAGGTTTGACACCAGTTCTCAGTAAATGCGCATGATAATGTAATCAATGTTAAATAGATCATAAAAGGTATCTGCCAGAGAGATATACCGCTGTATTTACAAAATCGAGTTTTAAACGTGCAGTTATTTCCATTATATACTGCAGCTAATCAACATTAAGAAAGACATTGAGTGCATGATGCTTCCACAGCTGATGAAAAACTGTAGACAGTTATAGGCAATAACATGTATGATACATTGTAACAAATTTCCTGACGTGCAATGTGTTGTAGGTAGTAACATAAATCAGTGCTAGAAACTCAAGTAATACCGTAATATAAAATAAAATTTCCCACCTTCTATGACGCTCGAGGACAAATTGCCCTCTTGATTGACAACAGTTAGACTGCCAGTCCAATAATTGTCAAATTTCTGTTTGCTGTTTCTTGCTAAGATCATAAAATCTGTTTGTGTATGCAAGATGACTGGATGTCAGAAACTATGGGGGCAACGTAGTGGTGAAAAAAATTGGAAAGAAAATCATTGATTGTTTTAAAGCTTTATATGTATTTTAACTCAATGATAAGAAAACAGTTAACAGTAAAAAAAAAATAAAAAAAAAAAATTATTCCAATCATTGTATTCCTTTATAGTTAAAATTTTGATCTATCTTGCTAAATAACTATATGTAACTGTTGTTGCTGAATTATAATGTTTGATCCATTTCTTTGTAGCTGAGTGAGAAATGGATGAGACTATTGCAGTAGAGGAAAGTAAGTTGGTTATATTTGATGAATATATCATTAAAATTCTTTGAAATATTTAAAACTGAGTGACATGTATTCTTTGGTGAAAAAAAATATTTTTGTTCATCTTTGTAAAGTGTTTTTATGTAATACTGCTGAATGAAAGAGAAATTTTTTTTTTTTTTTTTTTTTTTTTTTTAGAATATGTTTTAGATGACTGTATGTGAAAGAGAGAACAACTATGTTTTAAATATATATTCATGAGAATTTAATTTTTTTATATGAACTCAAAAGAAATTCTTGGAATCTAAGACTCATTTTGAAAACAGTACACCATATGTTTAATGTGCTAATGGCTTGTTGAAGGACAGAGAAAGAGATATAATGTCAATGAAACTTCTTCCAATGGCTATCACCAAAAGTGACCAGTATTTCAGAAAACATAAATAAACATCGATGGTAGTGATTACAATATTATTTATTCTCTTAGATAATGTCTTAGATTATCTCTTTCATTCACTGTTGAGACCAAAAATATTAAGGTGACCCTTAAAAATGTCTGACTTCTGTAAAAAAGTAAAATACTGTGCTGAACAGAATAATAAGTGCATAAGGAATTAGATTTCCAATTTTTAAAGTAATGGCAACAATATTTTAATTGAGAACAGTTGTTAATTACATCTGAATCATTAATTTTATCCTTTTTAGCATGATGTTATTTGTCATTTAAACTTACTTTTACATTTATGATATGTCTATATGAATCTTCCTACACTGTATATGCTATTATTATTATTATTATTATTATTATTATTATTATTATTATTATTATTTTGGTTTTTTTGTTCGTGCTTACAATAATGTACAGTATATCAAAACTCAAGTGGCTTAAGGAAGGTTACAATTTTATTTTTTTTAATGTTATTGTGCGTAATAGTATTAAAATTGAAAATGCTTAGATTTGCAATAATTTAAAAAATGGAAGTGGTATCATTTGTTTATAAGTTCTGTTATGAGCAAATAGATGGCATTGTAGAAAAGCTGCCAATAGGGGGCGCACGATGGCAATCGGGAAGTGAGAGAATGTGATTAAGGTTAAGAATGTTCCGTAATGTTAGCTTTTAATCTCCGTTATTAATCTCAGGACGGCTAGGGCTGAGTTGGGCTTTCACTTTTCATTCAATCGGGATAACTCTTGCATTTTATAAATACTTTATTATTACAGTAAATATATACATATCATTACAGAACATTCTTAACCTTAATCACATTCTCTCGCTTTTGGATTCTCGATTGCCATCGTGCGCCCCCTATAGGTGGCTTTTCACAATGCCATCTATCGGCTGATAACATTCGGTCATTCTGACCTGACAATCGTCCCAATTGTTCGGAATACAAATCATTTTTATAATTAATACATTTTTCTACTTCAACTCTTATACACAATACTTAACATACATATTATTAATACACTAAGAAGAATACACATTATACTAAAATTTGTTATGATAATAAACTTACTCAAATATTTTCACATACATAAATTCACATATTTTTTTGTACATTAGCATAATAATCGAAAATTTCTGTAAATCATTACTAAATACGTGATATATATGAAATAATTCAATTTTTTATCAGTTCTAAAATGATAAGTTCATGAATATGCACTAAAGTCTTTCAGCTAATGTTCAAAGTTCAAAGTTTTTAAAGTTTTCTGTCAGCAAACATACGTAGATAAGCACACACACACACACACGCAAAAAAAAGGAAAGTTCTCACCTTAATCACAGGGAGAGCATTACCATCAGTCCTTACGAACAGATCTGATTGGATTCTGTCGAGGAATCAAGCTTGATAACTGGTCAGTACCTTGATCGTCGCCGTCATCATCATCATCATGAGAGCTGGGATCGCACCTCCATGGCTTCAGCTGGGTCACATGAGCAGTGGTTAGTTAGTTAGTTCTAAGCACTGGCCCCAGCCCACCTAGCAGGCAAAACCTGCCATATGGCTATGAGGGGACAGGACAAGCCACAAAGGCATAACCCAAAAAAAAGAAAAGAAAAAAAAAAAAAAACGTAAAGTAGATACATACATTCCAAGCATTCTCGGTGAATTAGTATATAAATACGTCATTTCCATTTCTGACTTTTTTTCTGAAGTTTAAAATCTTTATAAGTTTTTACTTTCAATCAGTTATTATTATTCAAATTTTCTTTATATTATCAAAATTCATCTTAAATTTATAAGTTACCTCAATTATTTCTGTTTTCAGTAAGATTTTCTGCTTTGTTATATCTTGATACCAATATTCTTCTTATTCTCATTCACCGTTTGCATAATATCTCTTGCAAATTTTCTAAACAATTTATAATTACTAAATTAATCCTCAAACTTTGCAAATTTATATGTTTCTCTCACACTTCTAGTCAGGCAACAGTCCTCGATGAAATGCTTTGAATCGCCGAATTTATTACAAACTTTATGTATATCATTTTCCTGGAGGTGGAACCTTTTTAAGTAAGCAGGGAACCTTCCATGTGCAGTGAGAATTTGATTAACATCTGCATCTTCTAAAATTCCCATTTTTTTGCTAATTTTTAAACATTTTAGATAGTTTTTGTTTCTTTCAGAGAGATCCCATAAATTTTTCCAGTCTCTAATAAGCTTGTCATATATTATAGTATATGTCTTCTTTTTCGAATCTTGAATAAAAATGTTTTCGGTCCCAACCCCAGGCAGCGCCGGATCTTTGATTTTTCTGATGTGGGGCAAAAGCTAAAACTGCCGCCCTCACCCATTATCCTTTAAGTTTCTCTAAAAAGTTTTAATTTCTTTAATAAATACAGAAATAGGTATGGTTTAAGGTAAAAACCTAAGCTCCATTTTATACTAAATTCTTAATGTGCCCCCCCCCCTTTTTTTTTTTTTTTTGCTATAAAGGAAAAAACGTAACGAAGTTACATAATTAGAAATTCGTACTCTCCCTAGGAGAATTGCCTTACCTGATGATCTTACTTTTGGATTCAAGCCTAATCCTAACTAAGCCTGAATGCTTGCAACCCTCCAGTCCTCGCCACTATTCGTTTTCCATTCTAGGGACAACGGGCAACCCCTAAGTTTATCACTGTTCCGTATTATTGCATTACTGGTTAAATTAGGTTGGGTTAGATTATATGAATATGGCAAAGACAGGAGGGCTACCTGCTTAGAGGAGAGGTGCTTTCGTGGAGGAATTTTATAATGGAAACTGGCTCGTATTCACATTCACATGAGGAAATCCATGAAGAGAAACCAAGCAGCCAGCCCGTTCTTTTGGGTTTTAATCCAGGCAGGGTCGAGCTACCAGTATTCAGCGGTCTTAATCACTCGGCCACTGCTCAGGACATTTGTTTGATTATTTACTATGTGTTTCGGCATTAGGCACTTCATGGAAAGGGAGGAATGCCTTGTGGGAAAAAATTTTAAGGAGACTGACTGATATCTGCTTAGAGGAGAGGTGCTTTCATGGAGGAACTTTTTAAAGGAAACTGGCTCGTATTCACGTTACACATGAGGAAGACCACGAAAACAAACCATGTAGCCAGCCCGTTCGCCTGGGTTTGAACACAGGCAATGTCGAACTACCAGTATACAGCGATCTTAATCACTCAGCCACTGCTGAGGACATTGTCTGATTATTTACTATGTGTTTTATTTACTATGTGTTTCGCCATTAGGCTCTGCATGGAAAAGGAGGAATATCCCGTGGAAAAAAACTTTGTAAGGAAAACTGGCCTGTATCTATGTTACACACGGGGAAAATCACGGAAATACTCATACAGCCAGCCCATTCACCTATACTTAACCTTCAGACCGAACTACTAGTGCTCAGCGGCTTTTGTTGCTCAGCCACTAATGGAACCATTGCATTCAAAATATGGGCTATTGCTGAAAGGAAGTATTCTGAAACGATGATACAGAATATGGGCTATTACTGAGAGTATTCGTGCTTCCTGTCTTGTTTTTCATACTTCCTGTGTCATAATTAATTTTAAGTTCTTACTTGCCTTAATGCTATTAAAATGTCATGGAATTAGTAACTAAAATTAAAATTTTACACTGCAAGCCTTTTGTTCTGCAAATAAGTGCATGGAATCTGATCTGCGGTTTGATTTTGGGTTGCCAGAAATGCGAGACTTGATAAACGGTCCTAGGCTCACCGATGATCGTAGATATTTTTTAATATGTTTTAATTTGCTGAAACTTTGATCTGAACAGGTTGAAGTGTTCGTGATTCGTCCTCAAACATTTAATCAGGATTGCTTTTTGTGCCGTTTTGAAGTTTTTATTTGTCAGAATAGACTCAACTGCGATTTTTTTCGGCTACTGTTTTAGACTCTTGTATCCGATATTCCATAGGATTTTTCTCTCATTTTTTATAATTCCTCAGTTTTGGTCAGTTCTTTTGTTAACTTCACAGAATGCAGAAGAGGAATTTCTTTTGAATTTCTATGTTTACTCGATTGAATTCTAGAAAAATATTTGCTCAAATAATCAGGTTGAGTAAATTCAAATTTTTCAGAGCATGTAACAGATGTCCTACCTCATGCTTTGATTCCGCATCAATTGAAATATCTTTAATTTCTTTTAAATATTTGAATATTTCCGGTAAATTCATTAGAAGGACTTTCACAGCCACATATTTTCCGACCATCTCGTCTGGCTGCTTCCTTTTAAGTTGCATTTTGTACATTTTTTAATAATATACTGTTGAGTAGTGCATCCGACCAAAAAGCAAAGTATTTTCTGAGTAATTCCAAACAAATTAACTGCTTCTGGGGATGAAGAAGCAGAATGCATACTGACAAAATACGAGGAGTGAGCCAAATATGGCACAAATTCATCCAGCTTATTCATTTCTGTAAATCTAGCTTGTACTGTTTTAGAAATGCCAGCCATATTAGACCCGTTGTCGTAAGACTGACACCGACATTATCCAATATCTAAACCATCAAGTGTCAATTAAGACACTAATTTTCTACAATGCGTTCAGAAATACATTCTCCTAGCTTTCCACCAACTTTTATGAAATCAATTAAATTTTCTTTTATCTCACACAATCACCACATGTTTTTACGTTTTGAGTCACCTGATTCATTTTTCCCGTATGAGACACATATGGGGTAAATATGATACCTTTCTCTTTGTAGGTGCTTGTACTTAAGAGTTGAATTATGTTTGGCAAGTGGAGAGATTAAATTCAGAAAATTTCCTTCGCTACGCCGAGGACACTTTGTGAACAGGCTACTTGGGATTTCATCAGACCCAAGAAAAGAATGACAGAATGTTGAAAGATGACTATATAGAATTTTTCTCCATTTTTCTTTCTATGTATGAATGAGTCGCTCAGTGTCGTGATCGATGCCTTGGCACGATTTCATTTGTTGTACTCGAATTTTCCACTTAATCATGCACCTCTGTGGATTCCAGACACTTTGCACTCAGTTAATCTTGCTAAAACTTTTTTCCAATTAATGAATCCTGTTGTATGGTGTAACAGCAGCACCATGTTTCTGATAAATCTTGCAGGGTGTACAAAAAATTGCATTCTGTTTTTAGAATATGTAAACCAAGATCTAAGCTCTTTATTATTTACTAATGTTCTGTATAACACGTCAAATGTCTGCCATGATGTTCAATGGGATTGAGGTTTACGTTTTCCTGGATGTTTACCGGCTAATAATACTGATTGACTGCTTAAGAAAGATTGTTGGTGACCGTTCATTTTTTTTTTATCACCGGCCAATTGCATGCGTCCAACAAATCAAAAATTTTTAGTTTTTTGTCTTTCTGCTGCCTGCTCCCATCTAAATGAAGAGATCTTTACATCATGGTTTAATGTCCTCCAGCTATTCGTTTGATGTCGATGAAGAAGTTTATTCTTTCAAATGCTGACTTGTAGATTGCTTGGAGATGATATATGCAGTCATGTTTGGTCGTGCAAATTGCAAGAAATATTAATTCCCTCTAGAATCTCAGCACAATCGGAATTGCTGCAGGATCTGATAGTTTACTTCTTCCGTGAAGTTATTTTTTCATCTTAGCTGAAATTTGTTTTCTCTGTTTGGCCTTATCTTTGGCTCGTTTTCTGTATTTCACTTTTCTTCCCCTCGATACACAGATGGTTCCTTTTAATCTAAATGAAATTCGCTATGAATTGCCTTAATAAGAATAACTAAGAATTGACATAATTACACTGAACAGTCCTAAATAAATGGTCGTGGGGTCGCTAAATATAGTGCGGGCTATTAAAAGCAAGCATATCTTTAAAAAAAAAAAAGTCCAGAAGAGTCCTGAAAACTGGGGGAAAAAAAACATAAAAATAATAAATCTAGCTTTAAAATTCAACATGCGCTCCACCATTCCGAGTCAAACCAAAGGTGAGCCTAAATTGCCAACTCGCTGCAAAAAAATCTAAATGCCTTGCTTCAGCTTGAAGATATAATATCTGTGTCTTATATATACTCGATGAATATTAATTTGAATTATTTCATTTGTACAGGATGGCCTAGAAACAAGAAAATTTAATAAATCAGAATGTCAAGAATCAGTTGATAGAATAATTAATTTTTCGGAAAAAATAATTTTTTTTTTTACATTAGAAATGAAAGAAATGAAAGAATATTTCAATCACACAATTACAATGGTGATATGAAAAATTAAACAGATAGTTTCCATTTTCTAACTGATGAAAAATCAATAAGTTTATATTTAGAAATTTTAGCACTTAAAACAACCAAATGCTATAAATTTTGCTGATATTCTACCGAATATTTAATTTGAAGAAACTTGTTATTTCAATAAATTTGGTTGCTAGAGCAAGATCAGATATTTTAAAAATGGCTTGGTTTGATTTACTTGATTATGACAAGCATGCATGAGCTATCAGCTTAAGAGGAGAGATATCTTCTTGGATGACCTTCTAAGAAAAACTGGGTGGTATTTACATTACACACAGAAAGAAATCGCTATGTTAATTCCCTATGTTATTATTATTTGAAGTTATTTTTTGGGGTTAGCTCTTAAAAAATAGTTACACTGCTTCTCAGTTTCCCAGCAGACGTTGCTATGGGAACCAGGTGACTTCTTCTATCTATCGTTCTATTTATTATTTGAATACGCCTGGCCTAGACAGCAAATGATACAGGGACTCCAGATGTTACTGATAGGGTCAGTCTGATTCTATCAGTGATGCCTGGAGTCCCTCTATTGGCCTCTTTCTGATCTTGTATTTATAGTTGTAATCGGCTGTACTTTATTTTAACTCATGTTTGTTTAAAAGGGTTCTTGGTATTTAATTACAAATCTTCTTAAAAGAGGTTTTTAAACTTGGCCTTAAAACTATTAACATTGTACTAAAATTAGAGAGCTGTTTTAGCAAACAACATACCAAAATGTTCCAGCGTTATATTTGAATTTGCCGCCCGGGGCAAGAACCCCGGCTTGCCCCCGCTAGGGGCAATGAACCACGCGCAATGAACTGGAAGATGATCGGTCAGCACTATCCTTATCTTCAGGGCAGATGTTTTTATTTTATTCGGCTTATAATTCCTTACTAAATGAGTATTTCATCTCGATGTACTTCTGTCTTTGATATGATTTAAATCAAATTCCTCGTCATTATAAATATCACGAATACACATAAAATAGTTTTCTGGTTGCAATTTTCTAATTTCGACTATGCATAATGTATGCTTTACGCATGCGCACGTTGAAAGAAATGTTTAATAAAGTAAACAAATAAATATTAAGCTTTTTTTTTTTTTTTTTTTTTTTTTTGTAAATTTTGATACCCTTTAGATCATAATTGCTCTTACATAAATTACGGTTTCATATTTTTAATTTTATAATTTCTGCATGCCATCTTACCAGATTTAAACTGATTATCTATAATCTGGAAAAACCAATAATCCGAAATCGCTGAAGTCCCGATGAGTCCAGATTAAAGACTTTTGACTGTATCTGGTTTTTACTTCCTTGTACAAAGTAAAAGAAGTATTGTAATAATGGAAAATTTTGGATATCATATTTCAACCAAAATGTTAATTTTGACCAGTCTTGAATCCATTTGAATGATGTTTTTTCACAACATCTGTACGTATAAACAGAATTTAGAACTCTTTTTCCAAAGCGAGTTGTAAAATAACTGAAATGGATTCAAAAATACTCTAACATAGGGAATTAACATAGTGATTTCTTTCTGTGTGTAATGTAAATACCACCCAGTTTTTCTTAGAAGGTCATCCAAGAAGATATCTCTCCTCTTAAGCTGATAGCTCATGCATGCTTGTCATAATCAAGTAAATCAAACCAAGCCATTTTTAAAATATCTGATCTTGCTCTAGCAACCAAATTTATTGAAATAACAAGTTTCTTCAAATTAAATATTCGGTAGAATATCAGCAAAATTTATAGCATTTGGTTGTTTTAAGTGCTAAAATTTCTAAATATAAACTTATTGATTTTTCATCAGTTAGAAAATGGAAACTATCTGTTTAATTTTTCATATCACCATTGTAATTGTGTGATTGAAATATTCTTTCATTTCTAATGTAAAAAAAATAATTTTTTCTGAAAAATTAATTATTCTATCAACTGATTCTTGACATTTTGATTTATTAAATTTTCTTGTTTTGCTCCTTTTCATATTCTACTAATATATTCACTTTTAAAACTAATTTTTCTCATTTCTCAAAAATATCTTCTCTTATTTTATGTAAAAGAGATAATCCTTCTATTATGTTTGCATGTGTAATTCAGTATGGGAAAACATACAAGAGATGTATTTGCCTAAGGAGAGAAATACTTCGCAGATATATCTTTCTAAAGGAAACCACCTCATTTTAATTTGCACATGGACAAAACAATAAAGCTAAAATAATAACAATAAACCTGCAACCAACACATTCGTTGGGATTTGATATTATGTTGATCCTTGTATTAAACATGCAACTTTACATAAAGTTAAAATTTTTGCAAGATTTTATCTGTTTCTTGCATAGTTAAATTCCATGCATGAAATTTTTAATTGATTTGCTTAAAGAGGTTATTAATTTCAGCCCATTTCAATGATATATCATTTGATACCTTATGTAAATTTGAGACATTAATATATTGTAACAATATTTATCTAAAAATTGTATAAAATATGGGATATCAGTTTTTCTGTCTTGTTTTAAATATTAAATCATTATAAATTAATTAAGCTCTTTATTTGATTTGGCTAATTAAATTGCACATAAGTGTGTTAAGTGCTGACAATGAAGCACTCTTTGTATTGTTTTATAATACTCTAAAGCAGTGTTTTTGATACATTTCAAAATTAAAAGTTAACAACCATAGTTCTTTTTTTAAGTATATTTCTAAAATTTTGCTCATAATTTGGTGCTTCTCTTGCCCATTCACCTAAAGCAAGCACTCAAGGACAACTGATTGTTTATTTTAAGAACTATGTTGTATGACTCTAAAAAAATGCTGTAATTTTAGAACTTGTAAGTGATTTACTTGTCCACTGTGTACATTTTTAATTTCCCTAGACTTTGTCAGATGAAAGAATTTCTTAGAATTTGTTAGAAAATGCATAAATTCCAGTATGAAAGTTAGGTTCGGAATAATACAGTTATGATTTCACTTTATTCCAATTTCTTTCTTTATAAGATTTTTTTTTTTTTTTTTTTTTTTTTTTTTTTTTGAAAATTGTATTATTGTTATTGTTAACTAAAGCATTATGCAAGAACATTTTAATGCTAAATAACTTTGCCGATAGCACATTTCATAACTAAAACTGTTTTCCTTATATCATTTAAATTATTATATTATTATATATATTTGTTTATAGCTTGATGTGTTTTATAAATCTGTTTAGTGTGTATGTAATTATAATACTTGAAACTTCGTTTTATTCATTTTCCATTTGTATTCTTTTAAGGTACGACAAAGATGGATGAAAACAGTGAAACTTCTGAAAATCAATTACTCACTTACATACAGAATATTTTAAAGTACCAGATTATTCCAATGGATTTCATGACTCTAAGAGATCTAGTAAAAGAAGCACCAAAAAATCTCAATCTTTATAATTATATTGAAGAAAAATATCCTGGCTTAGAATTTTTAGAGTTTCTGAAGAAGTATCCAAATGTTTTCACTCTAAACCCTGATCGAACTATCACATACGCTGGTCCTAGTTACTGCATTCAGGCAGTTGGTAATGCTATGAAGAATTCTGCTATAATAGGTGATGAAGTAGACGGATATAATAGAAAAGAATATGTATCTGACTCTGATTCTGATTCAGACAAAAGTGACACAGAAAATGTTAGTTTGTTAAATAAGGATAATAATCAAGATTCTGGCAGGTTCAGCAGTGAACGTCCGCAGCGAGTAATTGAAACATCATCTTCATCATTTTCAGACTCATCTGTCGACTTTTTCTCCTCAGAAATAGTGCAGACAAGTGACTCTAATCATAGTTCAAGTCTAAGTTCAGACAGTTCTTCGGAAAATTAATAATTTTGCTGTGAGGTAATAATTGCCAAATTTACTGATGTTTATGCATAGAATTGCATCTTTGCTACATCTAAATTTTTTCGAGTTCATGTATTACTCCAAATTTCATTATATTCAATAACCAGTGTAACTCTTTGCTTCCTGTTTGAAAACAATAGATTTACTTTCCTTAACAGTGAAATATGCTAGTCAAATCGTACATGTAATTCGATGCATAAATGGATATTATTGTCGTGTTAAATGTCATATGTATATTAAGCTAACTTACTAACTATTTCTTAAATAATAGTATGTGAAAAATAAAATAAATCAGTAATATTCTCTGTTTGTTTTTTTTATATTACTGATACCTCAAAATGTTTAGGAAGAGATGCAAGAAAATGAGGATACTTTTCCTCAAAAATAATTGCATTCGAAACTAGCTTTTAAATAATACTTTTATTAAAAATGTGTGTAAGATGCTGCTCTATAAAAACTTATTTTTAAATTTAAAATGCCGAGTTCATTAATTGCTCAGTAAGTTAATAATTACTGATAATAATTAATAATTCAGTAAGTTAATAATTAAATAATACAATATTGAATGAACTTATTCAATGAATGATGTGAAATTCCTTTAAGTATTTTTCTAATTCAAAGAAAGCAATATGTCAGTTTTAATTTTTTCAGTTGGATAGATTGGTTTATTTTTTTAATAAGTACCTTTCAAAAAGATTTTAGAAAAAACAAGAGTCCTTATGCAGACAAAATTAAGGATTTGTTTAGTTAAAATTAAGAATTTAAATTGAAGATTTCAAAAATACAGTGATGCCGCCCAACTGGTATAGTGGTTAGCATCGTTGACTGCAGTGCAGAGGGGCTCAAATCCCAGAGAAAGCATGGATGTTTGTAAATGTATAATGTTGATATGGCATGGCGGCATTTTAAATGTGCAGTGAGCCGAAAGTCCTCTCGTGTGGTTTGGTGGAAGGGGAGAGGGGTGGGACACCCTCAGACCTGTTCCCCCGGGGTACTCTCCATCAAAACTGTGGGCGAAGGCTGGTTGCCAATGGCAGGCGTAATGTAGCACTCCTTGCCACGAGAAATTTAATGGGCTTGAGCTGACTTCGTCAGACAGTTGAGCATAAGCAACAACAACAATAAAAATTCAATAATGGTTTTAAGTGCTTGCTAATTTCGAAAAAAGAATGTAATGTTACGCGTATTTTGAACAGCACCTTATTAGTTTCTCTAATGTGGCTGGCAAGTACAAATAAAGTTCCTGTTTCTATGTGCAGAAAGAAATACTGTTTTAAACGGTACCTGCTGTTAATACCCATGCAAGCTTGTCATATGTTTTCTTGTTTTGAAACATGATATGTGACACAAATAATATTTTTAACAAAAGTTTAAGAGCTGAGGTGAGGGATATTCAGTCCGAAGCTTTGTTAGGGCAACAAAGTTATTTTTGTCCTTGGAGAGGGAGCTTCATAAAATAATGCATAATGATTTAAGAATTATCCAACTAATCAGAATATATACCTTTCAGCTGTGCTTAGTAATTGTTCTGTTGTTGAAATTGTCTGTTTTTAAAGCCCGCCAGCAGCCGAGCGGTAAAGTCGCTGAACACTGGTAGTTCGGTCCGAGGTTCGAATCCCGCAAACGGGCTGGCTGCATGGCCGTTTTCGTGTTTTTTCCCATGTGTAACGTGTATACGAGCCAGTTTCCCTTAGAAAGTCCTCCACAAAGGCATCCCTCCCCTTAGGCAGATAGCCCTCGATGCTTTGCCGAAATCACAGACAGCACTGTAAGTTTTTAATGTTATCATCTTTACTGAATAAGTGTTTCTGCTAGGATTATTCTACCCCCCCCCCTCCTTAAGGGAACTTGTTACATTTTGAACTATTCTTCTTTGTTTAAGGACTTTCATCTATTTTCGTGAATATTATCAAATCATTTTGTTAGCCTGAAAAAAATTTGGGGGGGAGGGGGGCTTTTTTTTTTTTTTTTTTTTTTTTTTTTTTCTTTTTTTTTTTCAAAATGATATTTTTTGAAAAAATAATTATGATTAAAATACCTTTCTGCTATGATTTTCAATGTTTTCACCCAAATGTTTTTCATCATATTTATTAGAATGTAACATTCAGGATTGATTTTGCAAGAATTACCTTCTGAGGGAAAAAATAAAAAGCATAATCATATAGGAAATCTTTAAAAAATGATTTTAATTACATTTTAATTTCCCATAGTATTTTTTAAAAATATTTTGCAAATCATCTTGTTTCGATTAAGTACTCTCTCTGTCCCATAATAATGGTAACAGTTGATGAATTTAATTTGTCCCATTATAATAGCAAAAGAAAACAAATATAGAATGGAATGTTTATTATTGAAAAACTAGATTAAACCAAAATTAAAAATATTACTGTTAATTTTTATTTTGAGCATTCAAACAGTTTCTGTATTTTTGAATAATTTTGTTATTGCATTTTAAACTTGTAGGTAGCAACCCTTGGCTGTGAATCTAGGGATGCATGAACTTGAAATTATTGGAGCAATTGTTCTTCAATGCTTTCAGCATAACTTGTTGAAGAGATAAAAACGTATTATCCAGTATCTGAGGAGAAATATTATCAATGGCTATGTTTACTGCTGCTGTGGTATCTCTTCTAAAAGGAATATGTCTAAGTTTTTCTCCATAATCTTTGCATTTATACCCAGCTTTGTTTTTTCAAAGAATCAACATTAGCCTAAGATTTGCCTTGACAATTATTTTTAGAAACATGTTTCTTGTTTCTTGAAATGATAATTCTGTTACACTAAAATTGTTTTGTGGCTAATATAATTGCACCTTTCTGCATTCTTTTGATTTGTTAAGAACTGGACAATCCCAACTCAATCTTTCTTGAAAATTCTCTTTTTTTTTTTTCATCTTACATTTACAGTGAGTTGATATTTAACTGAAATAAACAATTGATTTCGATCAACAAATAAAATTACGAAAATAGTTATAATACATAAGTAGGTTAACCTAAAAATTGAAAAATCTGTCAAGAACAAATGACAGATGACCTGAAATAATGGTTTTGATTGAAGGCTTCGCAGTTTTGCCCTACAACATAACTATCACCAATAATTCCTATTTAAATATTCACTTGTTGCTATTATTATGGGACAGAGGGAGTATATGATAGTAAACATGCAGTAAAAATATTAAATAATTTAGTCCATATCTGTGAAAGTTTTAGGACTTTGAATAAAAGGATTTATCAAAAAATTGCAAACTGAGAAAACGAAACTCAAAGAATGTAAACTCTTAAAATACTCACAAAAATATATTCAATTTTTTAAATATTGATGCTACTGAATTTCAATATGTATGTATCTATCTAAAATTAAAAACTTGTTACTATTCAGTTAGTGAATATAAACATAAATTACAGGCTTTATCTGACCAGAAATATTGCAGAAAAAATCCTAAAATGTAAGTAGAATTTTTCTTTGCCTGTTTTTGTTTTGTAAAACACATTCAAAATAATTTTAATACTTAAATTAATTATAATAGTTTTTTCTAAAACACGTATAATCAATATTAATAATATTAATTTGTTTTTTAATTCATTTTTTCAAAATGTATAATTTGAAATTTGAACAGATAGAATCTTTTTAATTTAAAACTGCCCTGCAGCATACATGATTTCTTCTCCATTATCCATTTGTTATGGTTTATGTATTGCCGTTTTAATTCATTTAGTAGTATTTTAATTAATTAAAGAGTTTAATATTTTTCCAGTATGGTTTTTAATAATGCTACAGTCAGGAATTTAGGTAACTTTCCTTATGCCACCTCTTTCTATTTATGTCTGTCCCAAAGAAATTCTGTTCCTGGAGAGGCATAACAAAACATGTTGATAAATAATGCATACCGAAATATTTGAGGTTTTTTTTTTTTCCCTTAAAGAGAGAGTTCATTTTTTTTAACTTAAAATTAAGCAGATTTGCACATATAAAACAGATTATGCTGATAGTTGCACTCACAGGTAATTATGTTACTCTTCTTCTGCACTGATATTTAATAAATAACTGAGGCAATGAAAAGTAAAAGAAAAAAAAAAGGAAGAAAAACACTGAGGTGAGTGTTAAAGGGATGTCAGAAATTTAAGTCTTTTAACACTATTTATTTATCAACAGATCGTTTCGAAATTTCTTCTCAATCGTATTCGAAATCTGACCAAATTTAGTAAATGGTAGTCAAGGTATTAAAATATCTTTTTAGTAAAAAAAATTGGAAAATCGTTAATTTCATCAATTTTTAGGTAGTAAGTCCCCTTAAGAAGAAGGAAAAAATATTGACAAATACAGAACCTTTTTATTGTGTAAACAAAGTAATTTATGTTTTAGATTACTTTTCAAATTTTCTTCGAAATGAGTGTATTACTCATTGTTAGAAAGTATTTTTACTCAGTTTATCTTCTTTATAGAAATAAACAATTAAAAGTTATTCTAGCTGTTTTTTAAATGATTTATGTTTTTATTATTTTTAATTAGCTGTAAAACAAAACAAATAAACGAAAGAAAAGTCTTCTCTGGCTTAAAATAAAAATAGTCTAAAAGTGTAATTTTAATTAAACATACTATGTAAAGTAAGAATAACTTTCCTACTTTTATGAGTTAGTGTCAATTTTGTATCAAATGCAGTTATATAGGATAAAAGTAATATAAATTCTTTGTCTGAAACTTCTATAATTTAAGAAATACAATCACTGCGAACACAGAAAGTAATTTAAATATGATTATAATGGTAGCTTAGTGAAACTTTATTTCAACAAATGAGAATTTGTTCTGAATACTAAACTCAGTTTACCTGTTCTTTTTCAAAGACAAAAAGTAACAGCTAAGCAAAATTTCCTCAACTGAATTATTTTGATCGCATTTTCTGAAAGAAAATGAGTTTTAAGTGTTATGTTGTTGAGAACATTTTAGTATTTACTTTGAAAGTATGATCGAAACTTGAAGTCTTTGTAGCAGCTGACAACAGAAATAAAATTGGGGGTCATTTTTTGTAAGCTATGTACATAAGCCTACTGAAGTCTCACTTTTTACTCATCTTTTTCATTAAATAAAAATTATAAAAGCCAATTTTAGTGTAAATTAGCGAGAAAAATGGTTCTAAAACGATTGTTTAATCTTCTAATAGCCTTTGTGAATTATCTGTTGAGCAAACCTAATACAGTAGCTTCTAAGAATGTATGTACCATTAGCGTATAAATTTTTGAATTAGATATTTATGAATATTTAAGTGAAGCTGAAGATGTATCAGAAAAGAATTTCTGAAAAGGGTTGTCTTGAATAGTTGCTAAACTAAATTGTTGCGTATAGGGATCTTCGTTTTCTAGAAAATGAGTTTTAAGTGTTATGTTGTTGAGAACATTTTAGTATTTACTTTGAAAGTATGATCCAAACTTGAAGTCTTTGTAGCAGCTGACAACAGAAATAAAATTAGGGGTCATTTTTTGTAAGCTATGTACATAAGCCTACTGAAGTCTCACTTTTTACTCTAATCTTTTTCATTAAATAAAAATTATAAAAGCCAATTTTAGTGTAAATTAGCGAGAAAAATGGTTCTAAAACAGTTGTTTAATCTTCTAATAGCCTTTGTGAATTATCTGTTGAGCAAACCTAATACAGTAGCTTCTAAGAATGTATGTACCAATAGCGTATAAATTTTTGAATTAGATATTTATGAACATTTAAGTGAAGCTGAAGATGTATCAGAAAAGAATTTCTGAAAAGGGTTTTCTTGAATAGTTGCTAAACTAAATTGTTGCGTATAGGGATCTTCGTTTTCTATAATATCTTTTAAAACTGCAGGTGCATTAGTTATAATTCCATCAACTGCCATATCGAGAGATGAGCGCATGCGCTGTTTGCTGTCTATTGTCCAATGGTATACTTTATCGAATGAACTGCTGTTTGAATCTCTAGCATTAAGTGCTTGTTGCAGACGTGTGTCAGGATACAATTGACTAAAACAATTAGTGGTGCCATCTCCTTGCCAAATATTGCTGTTTTTCAGTCCATGTCTTTCCCACATTTCTTCGATTAGGCTTAAGTCGCTTATTCCTCCATCGAAAGCAACATAATCGTTCAACAGAGTAGTCAGATTTAATTCTCGAAACCGCTGAAGAAAACCTCTAATGACGTCTTGATTATAAATGCTGTTGATGCTTACAACAACTTTCATCATGTTCTTACTATCGGTTTCCCACAGATCTTCATAAATATGTTGAGCTAATTGCTGGCCAGCTTCAAATTTATCGTAAACGTTAGCCAGTTTCAGGTCAAAATACAAAAGAGTTAATTGGTTGAAATATTTGCCGACGCTAGGTGTCGTGATAGAGCGAACAAATTGCAGATAATTTGAAAAATCAGATTTCTGTGTGCAAGATCTCATGCAATCACATGGCACTCCATGAAACACTTGATGTATTGAACCGTTGTTAAAAAATGCTACATCCAATTCTAAAACATTAGCACCACTGCTCAAGAAATACGTTACTTCATCAATGGAATTAACCATATGTCCTATTACATAAAACGGTCTTCTATTAGCACTTTTATCACAGTGTGAAGGCACGTTCGTCAACACAAGGAAATAAATGAAATACTTCATTATAAGATAATTTATGAAAAGATTAAAAGAATTGCTCTGTATCTTAATTCTTTTCACTTGATAGACTCTGTGCCCGATTTATATATGTATTGCGATGGAATCTGTGTCAGTCTTGACAAACTAGTCACTTGGAAATGCGGGAAGTACCTGCATATTTTAGATTACCATTTCTAAACGTAAATAATTTCAAAGGTCAGACAGAACAATTGGCCTCAAGATAGAAAATATGTCCCTGCATTACAAAATGTACATATTCCGGGCATGTTTCTTTAGTTGCATTTATCATTTGTCTTCCTCTTTTGGCGGCTGCACTGAAGTTATTATTTGAATGTTCTGACTTCGGAATTTAGCAATAAATAACAGATTGATATATACTTCTCTCTGAATTCAGTAAAAAAAAAATAATGTAAAATTAAGCTGTATATTGCACTGCTAGCCAGAGTTGGGTTTGGTGGATAATTTGCAAAGATAATAATTCACGTTATCGGGATAACAAAATGGGAGGGAAATGTGAGCATGTGCAGATATATGCGATCTTAGCCGTAATCTGGAAAGTAATGTTCGCTTGTGATACCCGAAAGTATTCTGCCGCCTGATCGAGGTATTGCCAGCAGGTGGATGTACTAATAGTGGATAAGTGTGACTTGAATACACAATCGTAAGATGTGTTTACTTTGGTATAAACCTTGATTTTATTGCTTATTCAAATATTTTTGTTATATTCAAATATCTATCAGAATATTACAAATGGAGCAAAAGAAAAAGGAAAAGATTTGGTATCAAAAACGAAGAAAAAAGATTGTACCAGCCTGGAATGCAAGGAAAGATTCAGCTAACGGTTTATGATTGTCGCAGGATTCTCTTACAGTAGAAAATAATGAGAAGAGTGGGGAAAAAATGTTAAAATCATCTCAGTGGTATGTCAAAAGAAAGTTTTAAATCCGATATTTACAGATAAGATTCTATTTTTTTTTTTAACCCTAGTTACTTTCAGAGAGTGAAGTTTCTGCAAAAAGTCATACTTCGGAAAGTACCACTGCATTCGTTGAAAAAAGGAAGACTGATATAAGTATTACATATGTACTTTTTCAACGTATTCCTGCGATGTCCTTTGACGTTTCACCTACGGACTATTGTGCTTTGTCCTCTTGAAAAGAGCTCTTTGTAAGCGCAAATTCATCATGTGTGTGTGTACGTGATTATGGCAAAGCCTCGAGAGCTATCTGCTTAAGGGGAGGGATGCCTTCGTGGAGGATTTTCTAAGGGAAACTGGCTCGTATACACGTTACACATGGGGAAAACCGCGAAAACGCCTATGCAGCCAGCCCGTTCGCGGGATTCGAACTTCGGACCGAACTACCAGTGTTCAGCGACTTTACCGCTCGGCCGCTGGTGGGCCCACAAATTCGTCATGATTGATGGACTCTGGAACGTTGGGGAGGGGGAGGAATGGAAATTAATGCCCCTGGAAATTTTACGAAAAGCCGAGATATGAAAATCACAATGCAGACAAAACGCTAACAGATCGACCATTTAAAAAAAGTGCTCTTTATATTTTAAACATTAATTAAACGGCCCCGAAATCATTCTAAAATGTAAATGTCTCCAGTCCTGAAGCGGTTAATGGTATAATCGGAATCATCGAGCATGTTCAGATTTTTTGGGGGTAAGTTGATGACTTTAGAGATTTTGCCTTTTTATGAAGCGGTGTTTGAAAATTTAGAAGGATCCGAAAATAGAACAATCCAAAAAGGATGAAAATGAACTTCAAAGTTTGTATTGAAATACAATTGGTATAGCATATTCATTCAGTGTGCTTTTCTTGGTCTTGGTACACCAAAAGCAATGGCGACACTATCTTTTGTTTCCCTCTGTTTTTTTTTTTTTTTTTTTTTTTTTTTTTTTTTTTTTTTTTTCTTCATTAATTGAAGCTTTAGGCAGTTTGGAAATAATATATTAAACAGATTAATCCATTCTTGAGGCCACTGACGATTATTTATTAAAATAAAGTTCATAGTACAAAAGCAATGAAAATCTCCCCAAGCGGGCGTTTTTTTAACGTTTTGTGTGTTACCTTTATTTATTAAATATCATGTTCTTCGCACTTAAACCATAAAATTCAATTCAACAGCAACTGCAATATCGCAAAATATTAAAAGAGCATATCATTAGAATTTCCGATACAGTCTCACGCGCTGGAGATAAAAATGTTTCTTCCGTAGAGTGTTACCACTGCTCGCTTTGAAATCGTTGAGTCTGTTAATCAAAAACTCATAAATGCTTTGCAAAATATAAAATAGATAATAAAACAAATTCGAGCTTCCAGATGCCTATATTCGGCTGGAGACGTACGTTATTCAAAATTGGATGGCTCTAGGTACCGTTGTTTTATCACAATGCGAGAAACATACATACATTCATGCAGATTCTTCTTCATTTAATTTCTTTAAATATAATACAGGGCTCTAATATTTGATGGCAACAATTGAAAAAGTGATTCAGATTTTTAAAGTTTTCGACGCAAAATGCCAAAACGAAATTAATAGCTCTTCTGAGCTAACGCCTTTTGAGCAAAAATGTAATTTAATCTTATCGTACCCTTAGGAAGAAGAGTGGACGGCGTGTTTGAAATGGAAAGTGACGAGGAAGAGATAAAATATTATCTGGATGAGCAGTTCTCTTATCTGATAACATCAGGTAACCACTTTTCTGGGACATCTCCTTTTATTTTTATTTATTTTATTTCGTCGCATAGCGTCACTCGACTCTTCAGATTCAATGGGTTTCTGCTTCACTCAAAATTTTTTCGCTGTGTTTTGCTATTGTTTACGATTTAAAATATTTCTAAAGTTAGGTATGCCATTAAAAATTGCTGTAGCTTGCAAATGCTTTATTAGGATGATATTATTTTAGGAAATTTTGCACCTTAACCTATTGTATGCAAACTTCGCGCATCAAAGAAGTAGGTTTGTCTTCTCTTTCTTCCTCTTCTGCAGGAGAAACTTCCTTCACATTTGCTTCAAAAGTTGATTTAGTTATTTTTTTGCTGAGCCAATTTTCAAGACGCTTTAGTAATTCTTTCACGTCTTCGTTTTTGACTTTCAGACGTTTTGCCTACAAACACAAACAAAAATATCCATACTGTCAAACTTCTCAAAATCTCTTCCTGCAACACAATCTGGCCGCAATTTCCTCCCCTTCCCCGAATTTATGGTCCCGTGCGTCATTTGTTTTCCAGCTTTGCTAATGGGAGTTAAACGACAGAAAATCTTAAAGCGCTGTTTCTAAAGGTGGCTAAGTGTTATGTCTGAGCGAGATGCTGCCTCTGAAAAAGAATGAATTTCAAATGAAATAAATTTACAGTTCAAATTTGAAAAATAACATCTAGGAATCTGGAAATCTTCTAAGTGTTCGACTTCACTGCACCACAACTGCCACTTGTGATCCAGTGACGATGGAAGTTTGTCATCCCAGTCCATGTCATGACTCCACAGTTCTTGTAGAATGTACTTCAGCGTTATGATGAAAGGTCCAAGAAATCCGATAGGATCATAAATACGACCCACTACTCGAAGAATAAACCTTTTCGAAGCAGTTCCGTTCTTGACAAACTGTGATGATAATTTCACGTTGAAAGATATACTGTCCTCATCTGGATCCCAAACTAGACCCAGCACCTTGGATGGTGAGTCAAGTCCCATACTTGAGCTCTTTTCCTCATCGATGTCGAACTCAGCATCTTTAAAGCTGTGGTAAGGATCGGATTTCTTGGACCTTTCATTATAAAGCTGAAGTGCATTCTACAAGAACTGTGGAGTCATGTCATGGACTGGGATGACAAACTTCCATCGTCACTGGATCACAAGTTTCAGTTGTGGTGCAGTGAAGTCGAACACGTAGAAGATCTCCATATTCCTAGGTGTTATTTTTCAAATTTGAACTCTAAATTTATTTCATTTGAAATTCATTCTTTTTCAGATTCCATCTTCAGATATAGCTCTTAAATACAACACAGCCTAAAAATATCTTGGCAAAACGTCGATATCGGAGCCCGAAACCTGACACTGTTCATGAACCGTGAGGTTATTTATTCAGGTAGTAGCAGTGAACTTATTTGTTCGTTAGATTTCGCTGTACTTACGTTAACATCTGTACCTCTTAGCTAACACTTTGAAGAGTTCAACTGTTAAAACACGCAACACATTTACCTGAATGCACAATAACATAATTAAATATAAGCAACGGCTGTAGTTAAACATTTGCGGCACAGTGTTTCCGGTCTGGACACACCTAAACATTTCCTTCTGTACGCACAGAAAAATTGAATGAAAAATGATTTATAGGTTACTCTGAACCTTTCTTTATTTATAGTAGACGGCAGCTCAACACAAACCAGTCCATATATTTTAGCCATGTTTAGTTTTTAAAGACCCTCATTTTTCAAAGAAATCTTCCAGATTTTTTTTTAGGGTATAAAAGAAATTGTTTGAAAAGAAATTTCTATGTTTTTTTTTTTTTTTTTTTTTTTTTTTTTTTTTTTTTTTTTGAAATCTTGCCTAAAATCAAACGGCTAAGGTGTTTATAGGTGTGCCAGACCGGGCTCACCGATAATCTAGGACAACTGAGAGTCTGTATTCTTTGTTTCTCCGCATCTCATCGGTCAGTTCGTTGACAACAATGTTCGTTTCAGCACTCTTTTCGAAGCTCTATTCAATCAGTGTGCCACTTTGGGCACACCCACAGAATTAAAACGATAAATGCTATCTTCACAAAATTTTACTTGTGTACTCCTTAGGCCTAGACTGCCTACCTTTCTTTTTTTTTATCAAAACTCCGACTTTAAAAGGTAGCGTACCGGAAAGGGTTAAATATTGCAGAGCACTCTAATGATGCTTTTGCGGAGGATATATAGGAAACCTAGCTTGTATCAGGGTGGAAAACATGGATTCGTGCAGCCAGCCCGCCAGGAACTAAACATGATGTCTTTAAGAATTAACAAA